AGGAGAGGAGAGGAGAGGAGAGGAGAGGAGAGGAGAATAAAGAATGTTTTTTTCTCAGCCAAGCCTTCACAGATAAGAACTGTATATCAAAAGAAAAGGCTGTTATATGCTTTAAAGTTTCTAAATAGAGAGAATGATTTCTCTCTCCACACATTATAATGGCAACATTGTATTTGAACACTTGAGGCTCAACTTACACTATTTCTCCTACAGGCAAGAAGTACACAGTTTATGCATTCAACCTTAGCAGTGGTGCAAGTTGCCAAAAAGATTTCCCCATCAAGTAGTCATTTATTTGAGGATTTGGGAACCAATGAGCAGTGTGCCACCTTGTGGGCAGGAGATAACATGCAATTTACTAAATGAGCCAACCCTCAGCACAAGCCTCCAAAGGAAACTATAACTGCGGGCCCAGACACCAGAGCACTGCTTGTAATGTGGGGTGCGGAGGCACCCCTGGACCCTCTCCCAGGGCCAGCCTTAGACCACATACAGAAAGAACTGAAAGGAGTCATTGATTTGGAGCCAGTGAACCTGTTTCTGCCACTAACTACCGAATGAACTGGAGCAAGTCACCTAACTCCTGTGGGTTGCTTTTGCAAATGAGAAAGGTTGACCAGTGATCTACAGGGGTCCATCCAGCCTAATGATGGGAGGCTACCCTTGGAGTGAAATGACTTTCTCTCTGATCTTCCCTCTGGCCTTCAGATTTCTGATCCCTCCTGTATACTGTCACCAAAGTCGTCTTGTGAAATACAGTTTTGCCCTGTCATTCCTATAACAAAGTGTACAAAAACTTCCAAAAGCAGCCCATTTACTACTGCTCTTTGTCTGCCCCCATGTTCATGTATTCACTGCCCCCATGTTCATTTATTCACATTTTTTAAAGAAATGTTTGTTGTGTCTTCCCCCTCATGTCCCTGTGTCCACGTTATCCTGGCCACATGGAACTATTTGCTATTCCCTAACATACCAGGCTGTTTTGTACCTCTTGCCTTTGCTCCTGCTGTTCCCTTTGCTAGGAATGTTTTTCCCACATCTTCCTCCAGACCAACTCATATTCATCTCAGTGCAAAAGTCATCTCCTTCCTGAAATTTCCCAGCCAGCTGTCATCCTGTGTTTTCCTAACACTTCGTACCTTGAGCATAGTGTTGGGTACACTGCCTTGAAATTACACTTGTGTATGTGTGATGATACGATATCTTGATACGCTAAGAGATGTAATTTTTCCCTCTGCAATTTCCTTCAACTGTGTGCTTCCCCCACTACCCAGACAAGGGGTTTTTCATGTGTACTGCCATCGGAGTAAGGCTATTACTGCCAAAAGGAACAGAGGATAGAAGAATCATTGTACAGATGTGAGCATCAAAGTGAACTTATGAGACTGGTGCAGTGGCTCATGCCTGTAATCCCAGCATTTTGGGATGCAGAGGCAAGAGGATTAACTGAGCCAGGAGTTCAAAACCAGCCTGGAAAACATGGCAAGACCTCATCTCTACAATAAATCAAAAAATTAGCTGGGCATGGTGGCGCATGCCTGTAGTACCAGCTATTTGGAAGGCTGAGGTGGAAGGATCGCCTGAGACCAGTGGGTCAAGGCTGCGGTAGCAGTGAACGTGTCACTATACTCCAGCCTCCAGCCTGGGTGACAGATTCCAACTCGAAAAAAAAGAGCTTATGAAGCTGATTGTTAGTTGTCAAGAGCCTGAATATTTTAAGTAAGAGCATCAGTATTTCTACCTTAAGCAAAAAGTTCTGGAATGAAAAGATACAAGTCAGCCTCTCCTTCCACGCGAATTCTCACACCCATCCACAGATTAGATAAAGGAGCTGGAAATGAAAGCCGGCTCCTGCCACATGCCCATCTTCAAACCACACCCAGGTGGGAGTGAAACCTTGTGTGCCACTTCCTCTCTGGAAGCTGGAAGGCCACAGTGATGCAGATGTGCTCTAAGCTGCTGGCATGAAGGAAATGCAGTGCCCCAACTGGGTAAGGAGGCACTGGAGAAACTCTGAGTTTCCCCAGAGTGGCATGGAGATTGGAATTTGGAAGCTCGTGTGCTCTCAAGAAGCATATGAGATGAATGAAAGACAACCAGTGATCCCAAAGAGTCCAGAAGTCAGAAAGAGGAGGATGCAAAGTGGCCACCATGACCCTAATGACCGCAGGCTCTGAGGATGGCTGCCACCAGTGTACGACCCTTCCAGGTGCATTTCTTCCTTCCTTCTCTTAGTGGCTAGCACAGTGGCCACTAAATGTTTGCTTTGTAAATAATGGAGCCAGGGCGATAAAGCAGTAAAGTGTTACCAGGGATCCTTAACTATATATGTAACCAACCTCCAAGCACCATTAATAATAAAACAACTCTAACTGGGCATGGTGGCTCATGCCTGTAATCCCAGCATTTTGGAAGACCAAAGCAGGAGGATTGCTTGAGCCCAGAGTTTGAGACTGCAGTGAGGTATGATTGTGCCAGTATACTCCAGCCTGGGCAACAGAATAAGACCCTGTCTCTTAAAAAATTAATTAAATAAATAAAACAACTCAGGCCAGGGATGGTGGCTCAAGCCTGTAATCCCAGCACTTTGGGAGGCTGAGGTGAGGGGATTGCCTGAGCCCACAGATTGGAGACCAATCTGGGCAACTTGGTGAGACCTCACCTCTACAATAAATCAAAAACATAGCCTGGTGTGGTAGCGCACCTATAGTTCCAGTTACTTGGAAGGCTAAGGCAGAAGGAACGCCTGAACCCAGCAGGTCGACACTGGGGTGACCGTGAGCGTGCCACTGCACTCCAGCCTGGGAGATGGAATGAGATTCCAACTCAAAACAATAAAAATAAAAATAACAAATAATAAAACAACTCTACTATTGGTGCTCTGATGAGAAAATACTTAAAACAAATGACAGATGTGTAGGATTCCAAAACTTTTAGGAGTATAAAGTCTGTGAGTACAAGCAAAGACTGTTAACAAGCATTTGAAGTGTTTTTCCATTATTAATACTTTATTATATTAGGACTGAATATATTAATATTTCTCTCAACAGTTTATGTAAGCAATATAAAATGTGACACATACATTCATTGTGATAATATTTTCTGTGTTTCCATCTACAGGAGACAGAGGCTCATTTTGCCAGCAGCATTCTCAAGGAATAGCACTGGGCCAGGGTAATGGTATGACGAGGACACAATCATCATATAACATGGAGAATGGGGCCAAAGGCTCCTTAATTCTCCTCCATCCATTTTCAAGGGGTTGGGACCTTGGAATATGTGGGACGATGTATAACTCTGAAGCACCCAAGAAGTTAATTCCAGATGTAATACAGAGTGTTGAGGATTTCACACAGGTCTTATTAAGAGTCCTGCGAAGTAGAGGGGGTTGGGGAGCAGACAGGACCCGTCACATAGCACTGGGTAAGGAGTGGCATTTCTGCAGGTTCTGCAGTTGAACGGATGTGCAGATCTCAGGACATCTGGTGGACAATGGGAGTGACGCAGGTGCAGCCAACAGTCACCAGCACCTTCTCCAGCTGGAAAGAGGCAGAGCAGCCCTGGCGCTTCCTGCGGAGGACCAGGATCTCTTGCTGGACGGGCACAGAGTTCATGGAGTTGTCTTCCTTGCCCTGGGCATCGACGCAGCCCAGGTGCCTACACTGGGCCTGGACAATTTCTGAGGGAAACCGGTTGGGGTCCCAGGTGATGCTGCAGGAGAAGCAAGGCAAAGCACAATAGTGAGAGAAGGGACAGGGAGACGGACAAAGGCTGAGAGCACCGGGAGCAGTTCTGAGCAATGGCTCTGGACCCTGGCAGGCTCTGGACCCTGGCAGGCTGGATTCATACACTGGCCTCTGTCCGTTGCTTACCTCCCTCAGCCTCAGTTTCCTCAACTATAAAGTGAGAATTTTCATATACCTTTTTTTCATGGGATTATCGGGAACATTCAGTGACAAAACTGCATATAAAACAACCAATGGTAATTCTAACTAGTGCTCTGAGAGGCCAAGGCAGAATCATTTAAGACCAGGAGTTCGAGACCAGCCTGCACAATAGCATGAGACCCCATCTCTACAAAAAAATTTAAAAATCAAAATAAAGATTAGCCAGGTGTGGTGGCACACCCATACTCCCAGCTACTTGGGAGGCTGAGGTGGGAGGGTCGCTTCAGCCCAGGAATTCAAGGTTACTCTGAGCTATGATCACGTCACTGCACTCTAGCCTGGGTGATGCACAAGAATCAAAAAAAAATGCACCCCATGGTACAGTGTTAACATTCAATTAATGTTAGATCTTTTAGCTTATTTTATCTGTATTGTTATCATTATTTATCCTTGGCCTGTAGACTGAGTATCACTAGCAGGTCTCCCAATATGCAATCTATAAAGCAGGCTGCTTGGTAAAAAAGCCCCAGAGAGACCAAAGCCCCAGAGGTCTGCAAATTCAATGACTTCACTCAGCTTCACCTTCAACAGGCCTCTCTGCCTGGAGACACAAAGACAGCAAGGTCGATGCTGCCAGCTTGCCACTACACATGCCCCATTCCCGTGGGAAGCGCTTCGCATTGCCCCTGGAATCTATTTTTACACTTATGTCTGGCAGATATAGAAGGGTGCTTGGTGTTCCAAGAACCTATATCTTAAGACAAAAATCACAAGATTGTTCCTGGGAGGCCTCCACCTAGCATCCCACTCCCAGGACTGGCATCCTCCACTACCCTCAGTCCCTTCCTTAAAGGATAATATCTAATCTTAGTGACTCTCCTTCAACTGTCTTTTCTGCTTTCCTCTTATCCTCATGCAGAGATAAATACTTAAAACAAATGACAGATATGTAAGATTCCAAAACTTTTAGTAGTATAAGGTCTGTGAGTACAGGCAAAGACTGTTAACAAGCATTTGAAGTGTTTTTCCATTATTAATACTTTATTATATTAGGACTGAATATATTAATATTTCTCTTAACATTTGATGTAAGCAATATAAAATGTGACACATACATTCATTGTGATAATATTTTCTGTGTTTCCATCTACAGGAGACAGAGGCTCATGATCCTCATGCAGAGATAATTATTTAGCTGTTTTAAAGAGCCCTTTCTCCCAACACAGGAAAATGTGTAAATTCCAACCCAGAACTGCATGAAGCAAAAAAAAAAAAGCACAGAATTGTTGAAAATATGGAAGCAAATATTAGGACCATCACCCCCACAAAAGACCTAGCCCAAAACAAAAGAATGCTTCCAAGGAATGTGGGATTTCCATTGTGAGCACTTGTCTCTTTTGTTTTTTATATATTCTAAAATGTCTCCTTTATGATGAGAGTAAATTAATACATTTTTCAAAAGAATGTGAAGATCAGTCCCATTGGCACTTACGTGTAATCCCAGGGGGAGCTGGAGCGATTCTGGAAGTTCTGTGTAAGCGGGACACCCAGATTCTCATTGATGATGCGGAGGTCAAGCTTCACACTGTTGTCCTCCAGAGGGGGGCAACTCTCAGGCCTTTGGAAAGCGTTATGCCCCACTCTGGGGTTTTTGCGAGCTGCCACTTCCCTCAGAAAGGCAAGCCCCAACATCAACAGCAGCAGGGCCTTGACCTGGAAAACGGAGGCGGCAGCAGCTGGTTAGAGGTTCTTGCTGGCAAGAGATAATAGCATATGCCAATGGAACTCAGCATTTCTGGTTCTTTTATGGGGTCAAGTCTTCTGTCTATATCTCCGTTCCTCACCTGGAAATGGGAATACTCATACCTGAAGATATCAGGTGCCAAACTGAGAACTAAACTCATTAGCCTGGTGGTTGAAGCCCTCCATAGTCTGAGAGCTCCTAAGCAGAGAGTCAGAAAGATGTCAGGGTCTGGGCCTGGGTTTAAATCCTGTCCTTCCTTCCTAGCTGAGTCTCCTTCTTTCCAGCTGGATAATAATGTCCATTTTATAAGGCTTTTCACAGGATTAAATAGAATGTTTGTTGTAAAACATATATAAATCTGCCTAATAAAAATAGAGGTTTCATAAATGATTGCTCTTGTTTTTATTTCCAACTTCGTATTCCATAGATCCTCCACAAAAATCCTTCCTCCTAGGAATCTCTCCACCTAGAACATACTCCCATCTCCTTCCTACCCTTCCAAGACCCATTTCAGATGTGGTCCCCTCTAGGAAATAACTGTCCCTAAAGTGGCTCAATCAGTGGTATATTTATTATCTTTAAATCATAAAATTTTTACTGTTGTGCATCCAAGCAGCAGTTTTAAAAATTGTCTGGACATGTAGTATTTGTGTTCATGTCAGATCTACACTCATTAGATTGTAGGTTTCTGCAGAAGAACATAATGCATATTACGGGTGTTCCAAAAGTGCTTTCTGAATGAATGAAAGAGTGGGAGAGTGAATGAATGAACAAAGTGATACAGTTAAATTGAACAATATAGTTAAGCTTAATGCATGAAGAAAAACATTACTCAAAACCAATTATAGCCAAGTTCCAATGATCCATGCTAATAGGAAGAAGCAGGGGCACTAATAATGCACAACAAAAAATACAGAAATTTCCCTTGAGCTCTGGAGCATGTATTTTTTGCTAGTTGCATTGACATATCAGCGTATCTAGTGTTACAGGAATGCACAAAGAATGAAAGTACTCTGGAAAGACCTCACTAAAAGAAGAGCCAACAATCTCACCAGCTTTCCTTGTCACCAGCACACTCTGCTGACCCCTCCCTCACCACTGAGTCTGACAGTGCCCATCGCCTTCTCTCAACATGACACAGAACAAAAACTGACATTCAGAGGCTTTCATTCTCTGGGCTCCTTATCTTTCAGGCTCATACCTTCCATGAGTTAAGGTAGGGAGGGTAATTAGACACTTGAATTCAAAAGGTTTTCCTTTTTATATATTGCAGATGCTGGAGACAAGGAATGATAAGAGTAAATAGAAAGATCATGGTGTCAACTTACTGTACGAAGGAAGCTGATACTAAAAAGAAGTGGAAAGCAAGAAGTTGACCCAGATTAGCCAGAATGAGGCTGATCTGCCTTCAGATAATCGACAGTTGTCTACTTTCATCCCTCACAATCACTCCTTCGTTCAACAACTAGTTCTTGACTCTATAGCATAGTGGCTCGGGGGATGGGCTCCAGGGTCAGAAGTTCAGGGCCCATAACTCAGTTTTAGGACTCTTAACCCAGTTTCCTCCTGTGGAAAATGTGGAGAGTAAATGAGATGCTCTGTATCAAATATGAAGAGCACTGCAGTACATGTAAGAATTCAACACAGACGGCTAGTGTCAATCAACATTGTGCTAATGCTACATAGTGGATGAGAAAGATGTGGAATTTACCCTCATGAATCTTCTGTCTTGACAAAGTCTATGAACTCAAAAAAAAAGATGCCAACTTAAATAAAAGGGTCCTTAGCCTCCCAAGCCTATCAATCACATCTTTAGGTTTCTTAAGTGAATTTTTCCTTTCTATTTCCTATTTCTTCTTCTGAATCACATTCACTGAATCACTTCTCATTTTCATTATCAAAGCTTTAAAATAACTCTATCTGGGTTTATATATTGTAGCAATGCTTCTAAAAAGTCATTATTATATTCTTAGAGTATTTTAGAAAATACATTTACATCTCTCTTAACACTGGATTCTCACATCTGCTTGGTGAGAAAGACAAAACTAGTAATAATTATTCCTCCTAGACAGGTGAAGGAGTTTTCTCTAAGAGGCAATAAGCAACTTGATTGAGTTCACCAACCTGTTAGTGCCAATCCAAGAACTCAAACCTAGGTGTCAGTGGTCAGTGCTATTGTCATTGCAGGTGATTATTATTATTATCAACATGGATCTAAGCTTTGTCTCACAAGAAAGACAAATATTTTAAGCAATATGACAGTTGTATCACAACGGCATAAGTGCTATAGACCACATGGTCCTTTATCAGAAAATCAGACAATGTCTGCAAATCACTCCAATTTGCTCCATGAAGTTATTGATCTAGAAACTAGATTTTAGTGGTTATGCAATACACAGCGGGGGCTGTGATAAAGTTGCCATTGATTTTTAAGAATGATAACAACAGCACTTCTCAGAGAAGTTTAGAGCATTTTATAGACTTGAATTCTTATATGCCAACTAGAAAGCAGGTGAATAGATTCACTGTCATTCTTTAGAATAGGAAACAGAGGCAAGAGAAAGCACCAGCAGTGACAGGACCCAACCTTCCCGCCTCGCTTTGCTCCCTCCTCTAATGCAAGCCCATCTGAGCAGCCTGAACATTCGTCCTCTGTACCTACCTGCGCCGTGTGCTCCCCTATGTACGCATGAGCTCTAGAATTGGGTCAGCTTCTAGGTCCATGAGAAGTTGCCTCAACTACTTACTGAGGATGTCTTATCTGCCTGCACCTCCCAACTTCTAATTCTATTCCAATGCCACCTGTACTGTCATGTTTCTTGCTGACAACCAAACGGATTTCTTCAAAGAAGCCAAAAATAGAAATAGTGTGGAGTACAAAGGTGTCCAACAGAATTTCTTGGATGCAAAGGCTTTAAATTCAGAAATCTTGCCTCTGAACCATTCAAAGAGAAGCATACTGTACTGTAGTGTAAGAAAACTTAGATCTGTGTCCCAGTTCTTGTGCCTACAGTATCCAGTGATGTTAAACAAATTACTTAATTGAGCTTTTGTTCACCTATATAATGGGGAAAGTAATTCCCATGACTTCAGTGGGTTGATGAGAGTCTCGGGGGTAATAATAACAATATTAATATTAATAGTTAACACTCATTGAATGCTTTCTCTATCATTATCATTGTTGTTTATTAGAATGACCAAATTAACTGAAAACTAAGCAAGCACAGATAACTGCCAATACAAAGCATAGATTTACTTACTCTCAATGATATTAATTAATTACCCCCCAAAAATACTGTGAGATAGATATCATTAGTATTCCCATAGTACAGTTGAGAAAACTGAGTCACAGGGAAGATAAGTAGCTCACCCAAAATCCTACACTTAACAATTAGTGGAACTAAGTCTGTCTGTCTCCAAAGTCTATTCTCTCTAAATACTGCACTTTGCCGCATCTTGTGTAATCTCTAAAATAACACGTGAAAATAAAAGTATTGTCATTGCCGTATGCCATAAACCTTTTATGACATCCAAGCTCTTTTAAGTTGCATGACTTGTAAAAGTAGAAAAGAAGGAATTATCTAAGCCAATAATACAGTGCATGGTTTCCTAAGCCCTGAATCCATGCACCTCTGTATTAAACTCTTCCCAGGGCTTAGCTGACAGATGCCAGACAGGATTCCAGATCTAGTGGGGGTAAATTTCCATCCCATAAACATCCCTCTTTCCTCCAAGAGGAATGAGATGGTGCAAAAAAGTAAATAAGCAGCAATCAGAGACATGTGAACTCCCCTTTCTCTAGGAGCTGTCCAAAATCAATGTTGAGTGGTTTCACTTCTTCCATTCAGGTCACTCTTATAGGCTTGAAGGAACCATGATAACACCTGGGCCCCCAACCTCCTTGTATGAAACACATATGTACATATCCCCTAAAGGGCTGGCTAAGTTCCCACCCTGAAATAAGAGTTTTAGTTCAACCAAACTCCGTAATGAGTGGCCACAGGAGAGACCATGCCAGTTGTCTGTGATACTGAGGACGACTAACACCACCTCAAGAAACAGCATCAGGTGAGGAACCATGCTTTGCATCCCTTAATAAATGTTCTAGTTATTTTTTTCTGTTTCTCCACCAGACAGGAGTTGAAGTTATTTTCTCTGTTTTTCAAAGAAGTAATTCCAAAAAGACCTTAAGCAAGCCTAATTCCTTAGAAATTTGCCTTTCTGAAATCATAGGCGTGACTGACTATCCTTAAACCCAAATGATTATTGCTACTCACCAAGGCTGTGTCATGCAGGATTTTCCTTGTCATCTTGCTCTGAACAGGAAGCTCTTTCTGTGTGTGTGTGTGTGTGTGTGTGTGTGTGTGTCTTCTTGTGTCTTCTTGTGTCTGCCTGTGTTGTATCAATGAGAGTACCTGTTGGTTTTATAGCAATCACTGTCCCTGTTTCGATTGACCTGCTTCCTGCCTTTAAGATGTGGTTGACCTAGACTTACTGACGTATGCAGGATTTTTTTTTTCTATTCCACTTCCTGAAGGGGAACCAAAAGGGGACCCTAAAAAGGATGATGGGAAAGGACCAAATCTTCCTTTCTTCCTACCCCACTTCCACCCCCATTGCCCACAAATTATAGCAAAATTATGAACTAATTTACTACAGAGACAAACCAAGTTACAAATAGTTGCCATGATCTTTTAAGATCTTCCACAAATTGCCAACACCCTTGTCACGCACTATATGTTCTACTTTCTAGTCATGCAATATGAATCGTGATTTAAATGGGAGATAAGTCATCCTTAGAAGAGCCTTGGTATTAAACTAGAGGACTGTCTTTAGCTCCATTTTATGGATGGGTAAACAAAACCAAAGAAATGTTGAATAACATCCACGGGAGATTCAGAAGTTATATCCCCAAGTTGTTTTGTTATGCCTCTAAACTAATTATTTTTTAGACCGCTACTAGAGTTTAATAAATAATCGTTATTCGTTGTATTGAAAAAAGAAAACTGTTCTTCCTCTGGTTTTTACACCACAACAATCAACACAGAAGATTTTGGTGGCCAAATGTGTGAGGATTTCTCCCTAGCAACAAGCAAGCAAGCAATTCTGTAGCTGACACCAATCAGGTGTCTTCCATCCAATTCAATTCTGATGCTATCTTCAGGTAGACAGCATCAGATCCCACAGGTGGGGGAGCCAACTATCTTCAGGTAGACAGTATCAGGTCCCCCAGGTAGAAGAATCATCATTATCTATAGGTAGACAGCATTGGAGCCCACAGGTGGAAGATTCAGCACTATCTTCAGGAAGACAGTGTTAGAGCCTACAGGTGGGAGACTCAAAGTTATCTTCAGGTAGACAGTGTCAGATCCCACAGGTTGAAGCCTACAGGTGAGGAACTCAAAGTTATCTTCAGGTAGACTGCATCAAATCCCACAGGTGGAGGACTCAGTTCCACAAGAGTCCCACTTTCAACACTAGTCACAAGTCCAGACCTCCAGAAATTCTGACCAACTGGCTTCAAGTTTGGGTTCCCACAAACCCCTCTTTAGGCTCCATTAATTTGCTAGAGCAATTCACAAAACTCAGGGAAACATTTAACTTACATTTACCAGTTTATTCTAAATGATAATTTAAAGGATACAAATAAACAGGCATATGGAGAGCTGGCAAGGGCGAGATCTGGAAGGACCCCAAGCACAGGAGCATGGGATCCCATTCCCATGGCGGTGGGATACACCACCCTCCCAGCACGTGGGTGGATTTTTGTTTGCCTTTCCATGAACCTCCATGAGGTCAGCTGTCCAAAAGCTCTTTGTATTCTGCCTTTTGGGGCCTTTTATGGAGAAGTCGTTGGATATGCATAATTGAAACATGGACAACTTCACTGGGTACAGTGGCTCATGACTGTAATCCCAGCATTTTTGGGAGGACCGTTTAGAGCAAGACCTTGTCTCTACAAAAAATTTAAAAATGGGCCATGCATGGTAGCTCACTCCTGTAATCCCAGCACTTTGGGAGGCCAAGGTGAGACAATTGCCTGAGCCCAGGTATTCAAGACCAGCCTGGACAACTTGGCAAGACCTCATCTCTACAATAAATCAAGAAATTAGTCAGGCACGATGGTGTGTGCCTGTAATCCCAGCTACTTGGGAAAAGCTGAGGTGGAAGGATTGCCTGAGCCCAGGAGGTCAAGACTGTGGTGAGCTGTGATCATGCCACTGCAATCCAGCCTGGGTGACAAAGTGAGACCTCAAATCAATAAAGAGAAGAGAAACATGGACAACTGTGTAGAAATGTGACTGGGGGCCGGGCTCAGTGGTTCAGCCTGTAATCCCAGCACTTTGGGAGGCCGAGGTTTGTGGATTGCCTGAACCTGCAGGATCGACACTCGCCCGGGCAACTTGGCAAGATCTCATCTCTACAATAAATCAAAAATTAGCCAGGCATGGTGGCGCGCATCTATAGTTTCAGCTACTTGGAAAGCTGAAGTGGAAGGATCACCGGAGCCCAAGTAACTGGTCGAGGCTGAGGTGACCAAGAGTGTGCCACTGCACTCCAGTCCGGGCAACAGAGTGAGACTCCAACTCAAAAAAAAAAAAGAAGAAATGTGATTGGATAAAAGGGTATAATCTAATGAAGGCTGAAAGTGGGGAACCCAGCAAGGCTAATATGTTCAGATTCTTCTCAGCCTCTCTGTGCAGCATTCCTTCCTCCCAGGTATAGGGCAAGACTCTTCCTGAAATGAGGTCCATATGATCTACAATCGGACGAGTTAGATCAGAGAATTTCTTTATGGCCAGCTCCAAGACAGAAGGGATGATTGGGAAAGATTAGGGTGTATGTTTAGTTTCTATGGCCTGCCTTGGGGAGAAAAAGGAGGGCAGGAGAGTGTCAGAGAGAGAGAGTGATTTCATTTTCTAAGACTTGCTTCTTAAAGTGGCCCAACATTATAATAAAAGACTGTCTTTTTTTCTTTATTGCTTCGAAGCTGTTCTGAAGCTGCTTCAGAAACTAAAGACAAAAGGCCACATACGCTAACAAAAGAAATGCTTGTTGTTTTAGAAATGCTTATTGTCATATTTATACACACACACACCCGCCTATATATAAAAATCACATTTGTACAACACATAAATGGCTATTAACTTGGCTATTGCTGATTGAGGATTTCTTTTTCTTTTTTTTTGTAGTCTGAGTCTCACTCTGTCACCCAGTTTGGAGTGCAGTGGCACGATAACAGCTCACTGCAGACTTGACATCTTGGGCTCAGGCAATCCTTCTGCCTCAGCCTCCTGAGTAGTTGGAACTACAGGTGCACACTACTGTGCCAAGCTAATTTCTTGATTTTTTTGTAGAGACAATCTCTTGTTATGTTACTTAGGCTGGTCTTTGACTCCTGGGCTCAAGAAATCCTCCCACCTCAGCCTCCCAAAGTGCTGGGATTACCGGTGTGAGCTACTGTGCCCAGCCTGTTTTTTTTTTTTTTTAAACCAAAATGAATTAGCAAGTAGAAGCCTTTAAATTCTCTGACTTGTGATTTTAAATGACCTGCCAAAAGTTAATGTGTCACAGTTCAGTTAGGGTTGGCAAATATTTATTAAACACACTCTATATATTAGGTAATGTACACCAGGGATACACAGATATTTTCAAAAAATAGTAACTTACCCTTTTTTATGTCCATTAAGATCAGGTCACCCTTTCATAAGGCAGGACCCATTCTATCAGGAAAAAGTTATTTTTCTCTATCACAAAATGTTTGAACAACTCTCTTTCATTTTCTTTAACTGAAGAAATTGAAGAGGAAGTTGTTCTGGGCTCATGAGCAGGCCTTCCAGAACTGATCAGTATTCTTGTGTGCTCACGGGCTTTCCATCTACATCGCTCATTTCCATGCCTGTGGAGTACTCTGCACCTCTCTCGGGAACAATCAGAAAGTCAACTCCTACAAAAAGTCTTCCTCAAATCACCTCTCAGACATTGATCTCTTCCTTGTCACCTCCAGGCTCATATTCAGTCTATCTTGATTTTAGGATGGTTCTCTGAGGTCTTCATAAATTTGGAATAACTTTAGCCCCCCAATAGTCTCCACCATTCTCCTTCTCCAATATGCATCCTCAAATATACAGTCCAGATTAAGACAACGCATTCTATGCAAGCACAGTTTCAAGTCCTCTAGCCAACTCCCTCTAGCCAGACTGAAATCCCTAAATCCATCCTCTTACAGAGATTTTCAAGGCCTCACCATGCATGGCCTTCCATGTACACAGTGAAGCTAGCTCCATGAAATCAAGAGTCATATTTTTAGGTTTGCTTGTGTCACTCATGCTACCAACGCCAGATATGAAATAGATCCTTAATTGCATTTTAAACTGAATGGGTTGAGTCACTCACTCTCTTCAGTGATCTGTTCTATATTCAGGGTCATATTTTATACATACAAGAATATGCCAGCTCTCTTGAGAGAAAAAACAAGTAAGCCACTTTGAGCTAAGCGTACCTAATTCAACACAAGAGGATTTGCTAGATTGCAGGAGAAAACAAAATGGCTTTTTATGCAAGAAGGAAGCAACACTGACCTTACATTCAGTGGTCACAAAGTTTTCCCCTCTCAGGGTAAAAACAACTATCTGATCAGGATGCCAAACTGGTAACTGGCTATCAATGAGTTCAAAATGAATCAAACAATCCAAGTCATCATTCATCTAACATTCACTGAGCATTTCTTCTTATGTAAATAATGTGCTAATACTACACAGCAGACCATTGTGGAAACCACTCACTGACTGGCTCTGCACCATCCATGAGCCAAGCTGTCTCCAGCCTTGAGAGCTACACTAATGCATTGCAGCTGTCATTCAACACACCTACAGCTAGTACACTCTACATTCAACCCCAAGATCTCACAGAAAGAGACATTTACAGTCTTATGAGTTATACAGCCTCATATGTGGTAAAATATTAGATTTTGTCAAACATCCAAATAGGCAAATGTTTTTATGCCCTATTATGTGCTTGGAGCCATGCTATGTGTTTGTTGGGGCTCCTATTACATGTAATTGACCACACTCTTACAGTCTTTACCTTAATGAGCTTTATTCAAATGGCTATAAAAAGAAAGTGACCACACGTATATTAATAAATAAGATAATAACATGAGATTGTTGGGAATATTGATAGTATAAATGTACACATTCAGTTTTACAAATCTAACTTTTAAGAGATTTATTTCCTCATTCAAAAAGGTGCAACTATTCATGGTATACTGGCAATATACCTACAAATACAGTAATTGATGCCAAGAAGT